AAATGGTAGTGCATCCCTCTTCTACATCACAGGTTCCAGTTTCAATCCCCGGGCTGGGCTAGATCGACTCAGTCATTCATTCCTTCAGTGGGTCGATAAATGAGTACCAAGCTAGCTTGGAAACATAATACTATGGATTTCACGTCAGACTGACCACCTGATTGGAATATCTGGTCATGCACCTCAGGACAAAAAGTCATGCGTTCTGATATATGCACAATAGGCCTCGGCTCCCATGGGCTGTTGCGCCACTAATATATATAAAAGTATATTTAAAGGTATTTTGTAGAATTTTCTAAAGATCGGTGATGAAAAATGTGTTTAATGAGCGTTCTCCCAACTTCCGTTAAAACATATTGAAAAATATCTTGCAATATTGAAAACTCTATTATGTTACCGCAAAATGTAAAAAAAAAATACTCTTTGTTTTAGTAAAATTAAGAAAATGAAAATTTTTTTTCAAAGAAGCAAACATTTTATTTTTAATATTTAATTATTTTCAATACCATATAATTCCCATTTATAATCATTGGATATTTCTGGCTTATTTTTGGAAGCCGTTATAATACTAAGTAATATTTATTACCATTCTGTATTTTAGCAAACATATTATCACGCTTCATTTTACTACAATTTACAAAATAGTGGAAACAAAACGGTATTTGAGGGGTATATAATTCTGAAGTATAGTAGTTCAATTAGATGTTTGACTATGCATTTATTCAAATAAATAACATGTTAACAATCATATATAAATAAGTAATATAAAAAATCTTTTAGTCAATTCCTATTTTGAATGGATGGATATAAAGTATTTTATTAACGATTGAAAATTTAGACAAGATATATCTTTATATATATAATTCTTCTGTGCGTGTGTATGTGACTGAACTCCTCCTAAGCGGCTGAACCGATTTTGATGATATTTTTTGCGGGTGTTCAAGTAGTTTCTAGAATAGTTTAGATGCGCAATTCGGTCCGATATAGCAATTAGTTAAAAATATGTTTATTAAGGATCTTAAAATGCATAATTGCTTTAACCATGCGTGTTGTTTATTCCGCTAATGCACGGCAAGGAAAAAAAGAAATAAGAGGGGACAATTTTGTGCTTTTCGCACGGCCAATTAAACGTTGCGTGTCCGAGGGTTGGCGAACCATCATATTTGTTTGCTTATACCCCTCAAAGATTAACCCAAAATATTGTACATTCAATGGCATTAAGATAAATTTATTTATTGTGCACTAAAAAAATATACCTGTTATAAAAATAGCTCGAGTTTTGTTTTTTATCATTTTATTAAAACAAGTTTAAGTTTATATTCAGAATAGCTTCTACTTTAGTCATCTTAGTTCATAGTATACACTTACTCACACGCAATCTATAGGTCGAATTGTAGAACTGTGCATGTAATGACGTCAGGTATTGTAATAGCTTTTTTTATAAAAATGTTCATCAAAACGGTCCCAGATGGGTAACTTTCGTCATTATTTTCACAGTTATATTTTTACAACAATGAGGACGAATTTAAAATGGTGTCAAATACCTGAAATGAATTTTAGTATAGAATTAATAAT